TATCTGCTGTCTTCCAGGCTCACAAGCAGCTGAGAGCAAATCCTTGATCTGCAGCTTCCACAAACGCACCCACAGCTGAAATGGCGGAAGACGCTGACATGCGCAATGAGTTGGAAGAAATGCAGCGGCGCGCAGACCAGCTCGCTGATGAGGTGAGACCAGTAGCCAAACTGGAAACCTGGGGCGAGGGCTGGTGTCAGAGGCACAGCCCGAAATAGGAGCTTGATCCGGCAAAGGATTTCTGAGGCTCATTCTGTATTCTGTCAGCTTTACACTGAAAGCAGAATTGGAAATTAAATGAGCCGGGGTAAAATGTAATGTCATGTTTAGTCTAGATTAAGATATTTATAGATCCTGAGTTTGATTTAGGCATTAGAGTCTGCATCAATTTGACTGACCTCAGAGCAAAAAATCAGCAATTTAATATTTTCTAAGGATTTCTTCAATTTGCCAAACCTATTAAATGTTAAAAGTCACCAATTAGGTCCCTGGAAAGTCTTAGCTGGAAACCACAGACTTTACATTTAAAGTGGAACACCAGCTGTTCCCAGTACCAGTGCTGCACTGCACAGGCAACGGGAGAGCAAACCTTGGAGACTGCAGCTGCCCGGAGCTGTGGCAGGAATTAGTGAGGAAATGTGGTGCTGCATTAGTGAGCCCTGACAGAGACTTGAAGATGAAGGGATCACCAGGGCCCCACTGGTGGCCTTATTTTGAGGGAAGGCAAAGAGCACAGGAAAAACATACTGCCAGCACGAACCCGCACGTTACTGTTAGAAACTGTATCTGGCCAAATCTAAGCGGGTTTTCTTCTGTTTCTTTTTCAGTCCCTTGAGAGCACCCGTCGAATGCTGCAGCTTGTTGAAGAGGTAAGGACTTGCATGTTATTTGCACTTCTGTTGTGAACAAAAGCAATGGAGACACTGGAAGTGTGTGGGGTTTTTAACTCACATTGCTAAGGCATGGCTGTGGTTTTGTGTGCAGCTCCATCCCTCCTTATCCTTACAAGGGTCATTCAAAATGCTGTGCCCTACTTGCCAAGTGTCACCCTGCAGACCAGCTTCTGCGGCACTGTTTTCCCCATACCTGAGTATCCATTGAGACAGGATACTCAAGATGAGCCAAGCAGACAGCCTCTGAAGGTGACCTGGAGTCAGAGACAAAGTGGCTGAGCTTGCTGCAGAGCTCCTGGAGCCTCGTGCCAGCACCATTCTGATGTCCTTGCCATAACACTGCACGTAGGGAAGGTGAGAAAGGCCCTCGGTCTGTTTGCCCTGTGGTCTGTAAATACCTCCTTCTCCATAAACACTTGGAGATATTTTCAGAGGATCAGGCACCGCAGCATGTAAGTGCCACTTCCTTTTGTGTCTCTGAAACATTCATGAGATGTTCTAGATTGACAGCTTTGGAAAAGGAAGTTCTCTGATTTTCCACAGTGCTAAGGAAGGGGACCCAGGCTCAGTCCTCGCAGCTAATACCAGCTTGAAGGTGTTGCTCCCAGAAGGCAAAAAAACCCAATTGAGTCAGGTTTCATTTCACCCTTCCCATATAAGAAAGTGTTTTTAAAACTCTTAGATTCCCAGACTCAGTTGGGTTTAAAGTGTTCAGCCATCAGGTGGTGGAAAACTTTGTTCCTGCCTGACAGGACATATTATTTTCAGACACCATGCAAGCCTTGGCTCTGGAGCTGGTGACATTTTTAATTATGGTCATCAGCACTGTCAGTCCCTGCACTCCTGACAACTGGAGGAGTCTCCAGCAGAGAGAGAGGAAAGAAAATTACATCAGGACCCACGTTCAGGAACAAGCACAAACCCAGCCGTAGGCTTCGTGGCCTTGAAATCAATCACAACTGTGAAGATCAATGCAGTCCAGTGGAGTCAAAATTAAATTTCCGTGTTCAGATAGACAGCCAGATGGGTCACTGAGCATAGTCAGAATCACTTCTCCTCCACAAACACTTCATATCTGGGCCCCTTGCAGCAGAAACATGCTCGTGAGCAATCTGTCCCTTTTTGCTGCTCAGCTCCCTGGACATGCCACTTCTAACCATCACTTTATGCCAAATCTATGGTGGGTGTAGCTCCTACTAAAATAATTTCAACAGCATGAGAGCAAGTCTCATATAGGCACTTCCACAGATGCAAAGCTGGAGAGTCTGCTGCCCCAAAGTGCCTGTGATCTAAATAGACGTGGCAGATGATGAGTGGGAGAAAGAGGCGCTGGAAAGGGAAGTGATTTGCTCTGGTCCAAGCCATCAGTAAATGCCAGCCCTGTCTCTCCTGAGCCGTATTTGTGTGACCTATGCACTGCTTGAGTCTTCCTAACATATTGAACCAGCATATTGTGAATGCCACTGGAATTGCAGTATTAAATTACAGCAAATGGCAAAGTGGGAGGAGAAGTGGGACTGCTGAATTTACCAATGAATTCACATAGGACCCTAGTGCTTCTTGGAAGATCTTAGCATCTCTCTGGACCTGGCTTTTATTCAGGTGCTACAATATCCTCCTGTCCAAATAGAGAAGTTTCTAAAATTAGCACTGAGTCACCAAAGGAATTCTTCTACAATGAGCTGAATATTCTTTTCACTAATGTGGCTACAAAGATCTTTACAATTTTTCTGTGGCCTAAACAGCTAGTTGTTTACTCCAAATCCATTTCCTAGGTACTTTTAAAAGAATGCAGCATTTAGGGAGTGAGAGATTTTGTACTGAAAAGACAAATGGTGAGCATCTTCAAAATCAAACTCACACTACTGTGAATTAATATACCAAATAATCCAATTAGAATTCCTTGCTTAGCAGAACCTGTCTAGTGGGCAGAAATAGAAAATGTTCTTTCTCAGTGAAAGAATGCTTTTTAATCTATTATCGTGATACAGCAAATCTGTCATTCTTGACTCAGGAAAAGGATGCCTCCATGTTTAAGCATAATTTCTGTATGCATATGTATGGATTCCTGTCATGGTTGGCTCTGCTATGTTAGATACTAGGAAAATACAGAATAAACAGACTGACTTGGCTCCATGCTAGAGACAGAGCAGTGCTGTCTACTCAGGGAAGCCCTACAGCAGTACAAGGCATCCTTAATTCTGAAATGTAGGTCATAGCCTGGGGGACAAAACCAATGTCTCTGAAGGACTCTGCCCTCCTTGCACAAGACAACAGAGTTTGGAGACTGAGGCCTGGTGTTGTTCTCAGTGAAGGTCGGCAAAGAAACTAAAATATGTTACTGCTTCTTATTTTTATAACTCAGCTTTGTGAGAAGTTTTTGTTTCAATCGTAGCATATGAAGGGAAGCAAGAAGTGGTGAATGGCTGTTGCAGAGTAGTCAGTGCTTTGCCCTGGGATAGCAGATTACAAAAATCAGTTTGCTCTGTGGTGCCCAGCATACCCATGCAGCACTATTTCATATGCACTGACCAATGCTCAGTTGAGCTACTCAGCTACTCAGTGCTATAAATATCTGACTTTTATGATGATGCTGTGCAATGTCTGGGCCAAAACGTAAAGTAAAAATGACACAGAAGAAGTGAGACTAACTACACAGTTTGCTGCTGACCTTCTTATTTTCTTGTTCAAGATTTTTACCCCACAGATAACTTTCTGAAATGCAGAATAACATAAGCAAGGGCAAAAGCCATGAATTAACCACCATCTTCCAGCAGAACTGCCACAGCCTTCAAAGAAAATCAGTCATTGTAGAGTGGGGGAAAAAAAAGGTGGTTTCTAGCTATGATGCAGCAAGGGAAAAAAATATTAACGAGATCAGTACTGCAGAAAGCCCAGAAAGAAAGCACTTAGCAACATCTACAGACAAACTGTTTTATACATTTAAATCCAGACAAGATTATCTCGACTAGAGTCATGTTTACAAATATATCAAAGCTGAAATGGTTAGCTATAAATGTTTGATAACCTCATGATGCTGCTCTACACAGGACGCTGAACACACAGTATGCCATTTTAATAACTTCTTTAATTTGTGATACAGAAGTGAGCTTCCCATGACATTATTATCTTAGTCAAATTTTCCTTAGTCTGAAGAATAAAAAGAAAAATATTCTATTAATTTGAAGTTTAGTCAAAAGCTTGGCAGAGCCAATTCGAAATATCTCTTTGACATCATTAGCTATTGAAACAGTTCTACACAGAACAGCATTTTAATTTGTGTAATTTCAGAGAAATACATATCTGGTACAGGGGAAGGTGATTAATAATTCTGGTTTCCATTTTTTGTACACAGGATTAGACCCCTTTTTCTATGTAAACCAGGGAAGCACTGGACCCAGGGTCATTACAATAAATGAAAATTAGGCCCACGGGATTTGAGTGGGGGTTCACAGATTCATAGTGGCTGAAGATCTGAACCATAGGGTGAATTAACAGGCTGAAAATTATCAGGCCTCTTTAATCAGGCACGGAGAGACACTTCAGTGTTAACAGGACACAGTAAACTTGGAGAAGAAGCTAACAAAATGCATTACTAGGGATGACTAAACAGTGTTTCTTGGACCACGTTTTTGCCTTTAGGGCGTTGACATTTCTCTTCAGTGCCTCTGGTAACTGCTAGGAATGTCAGCCTGTCCTGGTATATAATTGTCTGTGTGAATTTATTCAAAACAAACTCAATAATTCATATTGATTTAAGAAAAAAATCTTAATGTGTTTTTCACATAACTGAGAATGTATATCTATTTTTCAGTGTAACTCCTGAAATTCAAAGTGATTTCTATAATTTGGATTCTCTGTCTGATACATCATGCCCTTCTACTGTTATGAAAATCACCCCTGAGGCTAAACCAAAGTTGGAGTAGCTGCTTTTTGTGGCAGGCATAGATAGGATGCAACATATTGTGTTCCTGGAGGGACTAATGGGTCCTTTGAGAAGTCATCCCAGTTCTCTTCCTAGTTTTATTCCCACCTTGGGAAATTAAGTGACATAACAGCAATAGCAAGAAATGATACAGCAATACATTTCCTTTCCAAAGTGCTGGGCAAATTTCAGAGAATGTGTTGTTGCTGACTTGCTCTGAGTGACAATCTCATTAAAAAACAAGAAGTTTTAAAAAGCTGTTACAGAAGATCGTGGATAATGTATATCAAAGGCTCCAGCAAGGCTCCAAGTTATGCTGTTGAGCTGACTTCCCTGAAGCATTGACAGGCTTAGAATTATGTATTTAAAAGCTGATATAAGCTCAGAGATTTACAATTGTGTATTATTGCTTTCTGATCAGTAGCTTAGCTTGTGGTGAAGTGGAGAATCTGGGCATACATTTCATAAAATGAAATTTTATGAAATTTTTTAAATGAAATTTTTCATAAAATAAAATTTCACAAAGCATGGTGAACCCAAACCAGTTGGTTTGCAGTTATCTAAACTCTAGAGCTTAGTGCTACTAAAAGGTTGAAGGACATTGACTTTCATGAACTTTATGAGGTCTATATTCAGTTTAATGTCTCAATAAAACCAACTCATATTATGCCATTGTCTTCTAAAGTACAGGAGCATGAGAGGTTTGCTGTACCATTGCAAAATCCAGCAGTCCAAATTCTCCTCTCGAGTGCAACAAGAAGGCAAGGAGAGTTAGTAGTAGCTCTGAACAGAGAAGGCTGTTACAGACTTAAGAGTTGGATTAAAATGGCATGTTCTCAATGAACACTGTAGGGTCCTGTGAAAGATGCTCTGGCCTGAACTACTGTAAGCAAACACATTTTTTTAGAATCCTTCTTTTGCCACAAACTAAAGAGAGGGTTACTGGTGTAAGGACTGGAGAGTCTTAAGATATGCCTCCCCTTCATGGCTTCCCACATAGAATGTCATCGACATTGTTGAGCAGTGCATGTGGGTAGGAACCCTTCCTGAGCCCTCAGAACCAGACAAAAAATGGTCACCAGGCCCCTGCCATGGCCATGACTCTTCATGGCTCTTCTGTTACGGAGATTTGATGATCAGTTGTCGTAAAATATATTCTTCTGGGCTGGCACTGCACAAACACAACTTTCCTCACTTCCCCTTACACATTTGCTAAGTAACCAGTTTGAGTGTGTCTGCAACACTTGTCCCCACTGAGATCAAGGGGAGTTTCTATGACACTTACAGTGCAGAGAACTCCAACATGGTCTGTTTGGTGCCACTTGTGTGGCACATTTCTTCCTCTGCTTTCCTTCAAAGGCAGATGTCTTGTAGTTTTCAGAGATGCCTCAGTTTGTTGTCACTTAGGGCCAGTTACTGAATGGTTCTCTCCTGCTCAGTCATCTGAATGATAAGCATATTTTTAGAACAATTCTGTCTTACAGACATGTTTGATTTTGAGCTATCTAAAAGATCAGTCACAATTGAAATACTGAACTTTTAGGAAAGTCTGATTCTGTTTTAAATGCACAAATTTGGTTTTTTATTTTGAATTGGCTTTACATAGTTAATTTTTTTGTGAAAAATTGAAAATTAATGCTTAATAGAAACTTGGAACAGGAGGAGATTGTCACTTAATATCTGAATCACCTCTCATCTTTGCCAGTGAGCATCTTTCTCTTAGCTTCAGTATACTTTGGATTAGACCCCAGATACAGGGAAGTAAAGTCAGTGCACACCCTTTAATATTTTCTCATCAATGTTAATGCTGTGGCAGGCTGCTCTTAAGAGATAGAATATTGCTAGATAAAATTAAATGGCACTGATGGTCAGGTAAGTAAAAGAAAATTGCAGCTCTTTTGCTTAGTGCAAGGATTTAATATGAAATGCAAACTAGAAGAACTAATTGCTGAATTCACCTTTCAGCACAGCTCTTATTCAGGTCACAGAGCATCTGAGCTGCATGAAGGCAGTTTGCTCAGATGTTAAAAACTGCAGGAAACTAAGGTCAGAGGGCTAAGGAGCAGCCAACATTTCTCAGTCTGACCATGTCTGACTCACTGAAAACTGACAACAATCATACCACCAATTGCAGGTTTTCTGGGTCCAATATTTAGAAGGGTTCCATGTCAGACTGCACCATATTCTCTCAAACACAAGATGACTCAGGACCTAAGCAGTCTCCTTGTGTAGGCATGAGGCATGTTTTTTAAAATACATATAAATCTTTTAGGGTAAGACATCGTTGAGTACCGAGAGCATAGAGAGAGAACAGTAGAAAGATATTGCACATTCCTGGCTTAGCAAATCTGATGCCTGCCCTACAGAACATGTAAGGTCACTAAAGGTTGTTTCCTTATTATAAATAGGCAATTCTAGGATGGACCTTGGATCCTATGTTTCCCAAGCTTGCAAAAATAAAAGCTGGCTTGGATTCAAGTAAATGCAGTATGAATTTGAAAGGAGAGAGAGTAGCAGTGGGTACCTGGTAGATAGCTGACCAGGGGTCAGTAGGACACAGCAGAGAGTGAAGAGGGGCAGAAGGGTTTTTCTCTCCACGTGACAACTCACAGAAGAATTTTGGAAAAAAAAATAAAGGTGGGGAGTAGAATGAACTAGGCTGCACACATCTGATGTTTTTTCCCCAGTTTTCCCAGACAAGAATGGGAGTGCAGAGAGGCAGATGAGTATACAAGAGGCAACTCATATCCCTCTGGAAACTAAGTGGATCCTCTTGAAGTGAACTAGCTGCATTAGCCAGCCAGCCCTCGAGTGTGACAGAGCCAGGCTTGCAGCTGATCCAGTGTGGGCAGTGCACTGCGAGCCTGCCAGCACCTGCCCAGCACCCACCAGGCAGTTGGCAGCCAGAGAGACTTCCCCGCTCCTAGAAAAAGAGACGGGCAGTGAGTGAGGCAGCTGGGAGGAAGTACAATACGAACTCCTTAATTTTCCTCAGGGAGAGGGAGGATAGCCTGAAAAAGCCTGAAAAAGCAAAAAGGAAGCTCAGGACTCCATGTTTCTTCTCCTCAAGTCCTGTGCAACTGTGGGCATCTCCTCTGCCCTCTGTAAAGTCCATTCTACCAACTTTATCTGCTTCACAAGGGTATGGGTGGCTTTATGTTCACAGAAGCAGCTATATTACTGCTGAATGTGTCCAGGTAACTCCCCTGGCAAGCTGTCAGGCTACAGAGGACTTTGCTTCATCTGTTATAGAAATGCAACAGCCAGGAGATTGCTCAGGCCATTAATTATTCACAAACAGTATCACTGCTCCCAGCAGAATGGAGCAAGTTTCCCCTTCGTAATTAAAAAGGAGCTAATCTGATCTGTGATACAGCTTAGTATCACAGCACTCAGAAACCTGAGACACCTGATTACATCCTACAGTGTTGGTAATGTATGCAAAAATTGTATTTGTGAAAGGTGAAAGGTGCCCTGCTGCTGATTTAGGCTCTCAATTGCTCAGCTCTTGCTCAAGCCCCATGTCCTGCAAGGGTGATGATAAGACTGCCACTAACTTCCATGGAACAGAGGTAGGATCAGTACATAGGTGTTTTAAAAATACTGCCTTCATGCTCTATCCAAAGTCTATTGATGCTCAAGTTGTCACTTGGCTGAACCAAAAGCTGGCTCAAACCCATATCTATTAGATCTTTAAGCAAAAGAAAAAAAAAAAAAAAAAAAAAAGAAAAAGAAAAAAGAAAAAGAAGAAAGCAATTCACCTTCTTATGCTTCTGCATCCATGCACCCAGATCCCCCTTTGTTTTCTATTAAATAACTGCACAAAGTAGCTCCAGCCACATTCTCCTGACTGTGGCCCTTGGCCGGCTAGACAAAAAGGACAAGCAGCCCTTGTCCTGTATTTTTCTCTCCTCTCCCTTGAGCAGGTTTGAACAGGGAAGGAAGATGTTCAATGATGGGCATGTGGAAATATCATTAGTCAAATTTAGATAAGTTTATAAATGCACAAAGTATCTCGCAGGGCCAGACATAGAGTTGAGTTGTAACATCTGATCCTCATCCAAATCCTACTAAATGTTAGCTTGCTTTAAAATGCATTTCCGAAGTAGGTAAGCTTTCCAATTTCTGTGTTGCAAGGGCTATGTACAAACCACTATGCCTCCTTACCAAAGATGTTTGTGCCAAATATATTTTCCTTGCGAATTTCTCCTGTGGGATGAACATACACCTGCAATGCCAACACCCTCTTCATCCCTTCTCCTGCTTCAGAGAACTAGAAGATGTTATTCTTGTGTAAAGAGATTATTTTAATGCCAAAGTCCATGACTTTGTGTTTTCTACAGTAGTTCAGTATCCCAGTGAATCCTGAAGGACTGATGGTACAATTGAGAGCACACAGTTCCTTCTAGAGTGTGCAGGCACATAAAGTCTTTGGACTGTGCCACTAGCCCCTCATGACCTTGTCATTTCTTTCACTGTTTTTCTTTTGTCTTCCTATGTCCCGTACCAAGGGCTGAGTGTTCCCTCACTGATCTCTCTTTCTCTTTCTCTCTTTCTTCTCCCCCTCTCTCTCCTTACCTTGCTACCACTATTGGGATGTAGAGTAAAGATGCTGGTATCAGGACTTTGGTTATGTTGGATGAGCAAGGAGGTAAGTTCAGATTGCTTCAGTAAGGAAGTATATAACCATTCTCAAAGTACTGTACTAACTGTGTGCAATCCTAAAAATGAGGGCCATAAAATACATGTGGTTGTGCATGAGAAAGACAAAACCTCTTTGACTTAAGCTTTGTTGTCGTCAGAGGAAGATACAACAACTGCATAAAAGTCTGTACTACTTTTGATCTGTTTCCCATTAATGTCAAAGAGAGCTGCAGGCTGAACTCATTCAAGTAATTTTTTTCAGCAAGCTTTAGGTCAAGATCCAGCTACATGAGGAGAAGATTTGTCTCTGTAAGTGTAAAACCCAATATTACTTATGCAGGCGCTATGTTTTTTTCTCACTCGTTTTAGCCACGTGTGAAAGGCATGCAATAAATGCATCCAAGAGAAGGTAAAACAAGTGTAGTTTGTGCAACAAACACTTGCTTTTTGTATATAACTGTCAGTGAGGGTAATAGGAATTTAACTTTAAAAGCTACAACACAATCAGCTCATTACAATTGATCACATAGGGGCTTTCAAGCTTAGACGAGTCCATGTCTGCGGATGACAGTGACAAAGACAGAGCTAGATATATTCAACACATTCCAGGAAATTACTTTTTTGCTCTTCATAATATTACAAATAACTAGGTAACTCCCCCACGCCCCTGAAACTAATAAATCTTGATTTGCTGCAGACCCACAGCACCAGCAAAACGGTGTCTCCGAACATAAGTAAAATCAACAGAGTATAAATTCCTGCTATCCTGTGTCAAACCAACCACCCCAAAAGCCCTTGTTATTGCTTCCTATGTGGCATGATACAAAACTGTATTAGGAAATGTTGTCTACAGAGGTAATGCTATATTCCTCATCAAGCCCAGACAATTATTTTAAGCAATGGCACAGCACTGTTGAGAAATGGACTGCAGAACCTGACAGGCCCTTTTCATCTGTAATGGCCTCATCTCTCTGACACTAAAATGAATGAAAAGTAATAACAGGACATAAACAGAAAGCAGCTTATCCTATTTGCTTTTTTATGTATGTCTCATTGCTTCCCTCCCCCCATCATCTCCCCTTCAGGGAAAAGAATTTAACCTAACCAAATTTTGTTACATCAATTTGTCTTGACAAGAAAAAAAAATTACAGAGAATATTTTGTTGCCTTCAAAATTTTTTATCTTAATAACAGCAGTGAAAGAACCATCACTGAATACAGAAAACCAGAAATTATGTTGAAACATATATAGTACCTGTCTAAATACCGTGCTTTGTTTCAGAAGTGAATTATTTAGATAAAATAAATCACAAATATTGTCAGAGAAAGTCTATAAATGGTATATCTTGCAGTGTAACCCACGGACAGATCAGAGAAACTTTAGTGGTTCTTCCCTTATGTTTAATCTTGAAAAAGTATGATTTTGTTCTTTAACTGTTATTTTTCCACAGATTGTTTATTTCATTTATATCCCTGAATTTTGCCTTTTACTTTGTAGTTCTACTATTACTAAAACCCTGTATGCAAAAATTGTCCAATCAACTCTCTAGTTATGCTAGGAAGGACAATCTGTGTGAGCCAAGGAGCTGAGCCTGGACGCACTGACCTTTTCAGAGTCCAGAGAACTCAGTATTAAACTCTCACTGACAGTAAAATATTACATGTATATGGTATGGCCAGAGATGCAGTTAGTCCATATTTACAGGAAACAGACAATTTAAAAGCCTCTTTAAATTGGTTATGGTCATGCTGTAAGCAGTTTAGTACATTTAGCTTGTGACTTTACACATTGTGGGTTTGTCAAGGAAAACAGCCTGACATTGCTACAAATCCTGGGAATGTTGTAACCGCTGTGCTATGCTAAATGCTTAATTAAGTTTTGTTCATTTTAGCCATATATAGCTATAATAATTCCTGATTTATTTATTTTTATTTTTAGCAATAAAGGACTTATATTATTGGGTAAAATACATTAATGATGACTTTGAACCCTCTGTAATTAGTGCAATGTGTGCAACTCATGGATGTCTCAGCAGATTATCAGATTAAGGAAATAATTTGCTAACACTGCCATGTGATCTTTTTTCAGCTGACTGCACAAGTCACTTAAGATTATTAGGTGTTAAATACACAAAAAACATGACATTGATCTTTCCAGTGGGCGGCAAGTAGAATATCTTATCTCCGCAGTTGCTTGAAGCTCTATTTCTAAGTTTCCTTACAAAATTGCTTGTTTTGTAGTTAAACAGACCTTACAAGGAAAACTTCTCTGAGCTGATCTCAATCTAAAAAATGCAAAGCAGGACTCATTTTCTGACATCAATAAGCAGAAGTCCTTGGGATCAAAAATGAAAATAATTTGATGTAATTTTACAATAGTAAGCATTTATAAAATAAAGCTAGTCTGGCCAGCTCCGGTTGCCTAGACATTTAGTACAGCATGGAACAGACCACAGAGTCTCTTCTGACCCTGCAGAGATGTGGAGCTTCATAAGAGCTTTCATGACTCCTGTTTTCCAGAGGATGGGGATGCCATAAAAACTAGAGACCTCTTCCCATGCCCTTTGAAGTCGCTGGCAATCTGAGTGGGCTTTTGGAGCAGTCCCTCTGCAATACCAAGAGTTATCATTTTTGAAGCCAGACATTGTCACCCAAACCAGTTCGGTTCTTTCCCCAAGGGGCTCACAGGAAGGAGCTAAGAGGTTAGATTCTCCTTGTTGTTGTTTTTTTCCATCAGTGAGAAAGTCTTTCCCTATGTACATCCATAAGGCTTACATTTTCTTAAACCTGGCCTTGAGTCAAGGTCTCTTAATTATTTAAATATAAATATATAGATAAAGTCTTGAATTATTAACATATTACACTAAGAGTTCATGCTGCAAAGGATTATTCAGCAGTGGTAATAGCTATGCTTCATTAAAGATGCCTTTGAAACACACTAGCTTAGAAATTTGGATGCATGTTGGTTAAAAGCCGACAATAGAAATGAAACTGAGTACAAAGTGGTGATATGAAGACAAACCCGAATTGCAGACTTAGCAGAGATTCCAGAGTGGTAGCTCTCCTTCTCCAAAGGAAACTCCCATCACCCGGGAGTATCAGCAGGCAGGCAGATTTGGACCTTCAAGGACCTTTTTTTTGTGTTATTATGTCCTCATGCAGTTTATTACAAAGGAATTTTGTTCTTGTATTCAGAACTGTGTGGAGGAGAGAAACATCTCCATTAACAACATTAGCAGCACAGCTGTTCTTCATCAGAGGCAAAATAGAGGAATGTCCACAGTTTTGATAAGCCACAAATGAAAATTTCAATGCAATTGAAATTTTCTCTCTACGACATGGCAAGAGTAAAGGTACTCATGCCAATGATAACATGGAGCAGCTTAATCTACCCAGCAGATTTGTAGCCCAGATCAAGATAAATCATGGAGATAAAACTTCTGCATAACTGGACAAGTCCACAAGCAAAAGGGTTGACATCATGCAACGGTGCCCATGCTAGCTGACTTCTACTGGTTTTATAGGAGTTTCAATTTTAAACAGTTTTGTGTGAATTATGATTGAGAAATCACTGCAGTAAACACAAATATAATTACCATTTTTTTCCTTGAGAGAGCAAAGCTATAGCCCCTTGTGCAGGCTCCTTCCCCAGCTTATCTCCTAGCCTACAGCTACCACAAAAATTGATAGGGAGTGAGAAGCCAAAAGCAGCGTTGCTAGAGACACTCTACCAACACCTATGAGCTGAGGTGATCACAGTCAGAAATGGTTTGCTAATTAGTGAAAAAAAAATAAAATAGCATCAATTACATTGAAAGTGTACTGCAGAGCAAAAGACAAACAACCTCCCTCCCAAAAGCAGGTTGTGCCTGGTCTACTGATTTTTAGCACAGCTACATGTGGGATCACAAGCATTCCCTGCCAGCTTAATTCTGCTCCTGTCTGTGCTCAGCAATGCCTCTTGGAGCAGGTCAAGACTGTTCCAGAAATCACAGAATCTCAGAGAATTGTCATGGTTGGAAGGACCCCTGAGATCACAGAGTCCAACCATCAACCATCAACACACACAAAAAAACCCCAAACACAAGCAACCACACACACAACCAAAAAACACCCACAAAAACCCTTACAGCCTCAGCCACTAGAGTATGCCCTGAAGTGCCACATCTACATGTTTCTTGAATACCTCCAAGGATGGTGACTCCACCACCTCCCTGGGCAGCCTGTTCCAGTATAGAAAGTCTATTATCCAATCTAAATCACCACTGCTGCAACTTCAGGCCATTTCTTCTTGTCCCACCATTATCCACTTGGGAGAAGAGGCCAACACCCACCTCCTTACAACCTCCCTTCAAGTACCTGTAGAGTAAGATGAGGTCTCCCCTCAGCCTCCTCCAAACTAAACAGTTGCCTCAGCCAGCCCTCATATGACTTGTCCTCTAGACCCTTTACCAGCTTTGTTGCCCTTCTCTGGACGTACTCCAGCACCTCAATGTCCTTCTTATAGTGAGTGGCCCAGAACTGAACACAGCATTTGATGTGCAGCCTCACCAGTACCAAATTCAGGGGCACAATCACTTCCCCACTCCTGCTGCTCATACTATTCCTGATACAAGCCAGGATGCTACTGGCCTTCTTGGGCACCTGGGAAAACTGCTGGCTCATGTTCAGCCAGCTGTCAACCCACCCCAGGTTCTTTTCTGCTGGGCAACTTTCCAGCCAGTCTGCCCCAAGCGTGTAGCATTGCATGAGGTTGTTGTGATCAAAATGCAGGACCTGGCACTTGGCCTTATTGAACCTCATACAATTTGCCTTGGCCCATTAACCCAGCCTGTCCAGGTCCCTCTCCAGAGCCTTCCCACCCTCAAGCAGATCAACACTCCCACCCATTTTGCTGTCATCTGCAAACTTACTGAGTGTGCACTCAGTCCTCTCATCCAGATCATTGACAAAGGTATTGAAGAAGAATGGCCCCAAAACTGAGTCCTGAGGGAACACCACTGGCGACCAGCCACCAACTAGATTTGACCCCATTTACCACAACTCTCTGGGCCCAGCCATCCAGCCAGTTTTTTACCCAATGAAGAGTACACTTGTCTATGCCATGACCTGCCACCTTCTCCAGGAGAATGCACTGGCAGACGGTCTCAAAGACCTTACCAAAATCCAGGTAGAGAATGTCCACAGCCTTCTCCTCATCCAAAAGTCAGGTCACATGGTCATAGAAAGACATCAAGTTGGTCAAGCAAGACCTCCTTTTCATAAACCCATGCTGGCTGGCCCAGAGCCTCTGGCTGCCCTGCACTTGCCATGTGAGCTCACTTGAGCCTGTCCATGATCTTCCTCAGTACCAAGGTCAGGCTGACAGTCCTGTCGTTCCCCAGATCCTCCTTCTGCCCCTTGCAGATGGGTGCCATATTAGCCAGCCTTCAGTCATCTGGGACCTTCCCTGCTGACCAGGATTATTGATAAATGATGAAGAGAAGCCTAGTGAGCTCCCCCACCAGCTCCCTCAGTACTCTTGCATGGATCCCATCCAGCCCCATAGACTTTTGCATGTCTAGGTGTAGAATCAGATCATTAACTACTTCCTCCTGGATTATAGGGGGGGATGGCTTTTTTTTTGTTGTTGTTGTTAATTTTTGTTTGTTTGTTTGTTTAATTTTTGGTTTTGTTTTTCTTTAAGAAATAATGTAAGAACTGCTGGAGTTGGAAGGGATCTCTAAAGATCATCTAGTCCAACTCTCCCACTGAAGAAGGATAACCTAGAGCACATTACACAGGACTGCATCCAGGTGGGTTTTGGATATCTCCAGAGATGGAGACTCCACAACCTACCTGGGCAGCCTGTTCCAGTGCTCTTTCACTCTCATTGTAAAGAAGTTTTTCCTCATATTTAAATGGAACTTCCTATATTTCAACTTGCACTTGTTCTCCCTCATTCTGATACTGGGAACTACTGAGAAGAGACTGTCTCCATCTTCCTTGCACCCACCCTTTAGATACTTATATACATTGATAAGGTCTCCCCTCAGCCTTCTCATTTTCAGGCTAAAGAGTCCCAGCTCTTTCAGCTCTTCCTCGTAAGAAAGATGCTCCAATCCCCCTATCATCTTTGTCATACTCCTCTGGACTCTCTCCAGTAACTCCCTGTTTTTCCTGAACTGTGGAGCCCAGAACTGGATGCAGTATTCCAGATGTGGCCTCACCAGGGCAAAGTAGAGGGGGAGAATGACCTCCTTTGACCCACACTCTTCTTTATGCAACTAGGATTCCAATGGCCTTCTTGGCAGCAGGGGCACTTTTTCTGCACTGCATTCTTCCAGCTTAGGAGACTGAACACCCTGGGGGGAGCTGGTCTGACTATTAAAGATGGAGGCAAAGATGGAGGCATTAAGCATCTCAGCCGTTTCCTTATCCTTGGTTGCAATGTTCCCCCCACATCTAGTTAGGGATGGAAATTCTCCCTGATTCTTTTTTTATTTTTGATGTATTTTTAAAAGCTTTTTTGCTGTCCCTTATGTCAGAGGTCAAGCTGAGATCCATCTGGGCTTTTGTCTTCCTAGTTTTCTCTCTGTATGACCTAACAAGATCACTTGAGTTGACTCTCCCTTCTTCCAAAGGCGGGAAATCCTCCTTTTTTTCTTAGGTTCCAGCAAAAGCTCCCTGTTCAACCAGGCCAGCCATCTTCTCCACCCTTTGATCCTGCAACACGTGGAGACAGCCTGCTCCTGGGCCTTTAAGATTTCCTTCTTGAAAAGTGTCCAGCCTTCTTGGACCTCTTTGCCTTTTAGGACTGTTTCCCAAGGGACTCTCTCAACCCATGTCCTGAAGAGGCCAAAACCAGCCCTCCAGAAGTCCAAGGTGGAGGTTTTGCTAACCCCCCTCCTTACATCACTAAGAACTGAAAACTGCACCATTTTGTCATTGCTAAGCCCAAGATGGCCTCTGACCACCACACCTCCCACTAATCCTTCTCTATTTGTGAACAGGAGGTTCAGTGAGGCACCTCCCCTGGTAGCTGTGTGAGGAAGTTGTCTTCTACACGCTCAAGGAACCTCCCAGCCTGCCTGCTCTCTGCTGTGTTATATTTCCAGCAGATGTCCAGTAGGTTCAAGTCCCCAACCAGAACAAAAGCTGGTGATAGTGAGACTTCAGCCCAGTCACTTATAGAACACTTCATCTGCTTCCTTGTCCTGGTTGGGTGGTCTATAAGAGACTCCCAGCACAATATCTGCCTTATTTACCTTCCCCTTCATACCTACCCATAAACACTCAACTTTATCGTCACTATAATCAAGCTCTATACAATCAAAACACTCCCTAACAAGTGTACTGTGCTCCAATATGACAGCTGAAGAGCAGATGCAGCTGGCAATACTGACAGGGCACTTCTCAAAGCCCAGCCTCATGCAAGAATTCAAGAAAAAGCAGAAGTTCAATATTTGAATTATTTTGGCTCAAATTATTTAGGCCAGGACCTTTAAGGCCCGCTGGGGCTGAGATGCCCAATTCCCACTAAAATTAATTAAATAAAATTAATTTTAATGGGACTTGGATATGCAAATCTCCTAGAAAGCTTTGAAAATCAAAACCTCAACTGTTATTAGAAACCCCAGTAAGGAATTGGGCCTATTCATGTTCCCAAAAAGTCAAGAGTTTTGTATTGATGTCAATATGCATTTTTTTCTTTTTTTTTTTTTAAGACTAATTTAATATCAGGGATGACATTACATTTGTCCTATAACCAGTGCCATCTTAGTTCCTTCCCTCTCAGGTCTAATCCTGTGTTTATATTATTTTTCTATTCAATAAAGGAATAGGGATGTGTTTGGCTTTTGCCAGGATTGCTTTTCTTTGCCTTTTTGAGTATAGTTACAATTTTCCTAGATTGAAATGCCTCTACAGGTAGCTTTCTCATCCTATGTAATACTTATTTGGGTTTATCCTTCACAAAATAAATGATGAGACTTTTCACCTAAGTAAAATGCCATTGCTACTGCAGGCTCCACATAAGACCCCTGACCCCATTTGGTCCATATCTGTTTGCATCAGCAGAGGATCTATTCCCACAGTTTGAATTGTGGCATTCTGTTCCTATAGGCCATAATTCCCAGCTTTAATACTGAAGACATGAACACACTCAATTTTTCTAAGCTACCAAGTCACTAACAAGACCCTAAATCATCATCAGCCTTAGGTGGAAATAAACCAAATTGTGTTTAATACCAGCAGAGAGACAGTGTCTATATATTGGTGGTTACTTGAATTGGTGCTTCGCAACTTGTTATGGAGCAAAGCAGAAGTGACCTCACGGAAAAGTCTTCTCCTGATGCTTGTTTTCATAAGATTTCTTGCAGACAGAGACAATGAGCGTCACAGCAGTGGTCGTCTTTCAGTGACCATAGGGCTCCTGTGCTGGCTGCAATTCTTCAGCATTCACTGGGTTTACTCCTCATTTGCAGCATCCACCCAAGAAAGAAAACCAGCCCTGAGGCCATATTCAGATTAGAAATGAATATCCAGTGTCAGCCAAAATGTCTGGTCTCAGTTTCCTCAGCCTCTGGAAAAAGGAGTACTTGGACATGGCTCTGTAACAGCTTGCTACATCTCTGGTACCATTACTACCAGCTGTCCCACTCAGTTACTCACTAATCAAAGCAATTACACTGTACAAAATCACCTGGTTCCAAGGGATTTGTAAGTGTAAGTAACTGAATTATTTTCCATGGAAGGACACCTTTTCTCTTGTATTAACATACATAAATGCAAAATAATAACACTTTATCTCTCTTTCTTTCGGATGTCATTGGTGTCTTAGTAAGTGGATGTATTGTATTGTTTCTGGACCTTAAACTTTATAACCCTTCCTTTCTACATCAATACACCTTGTTTAAATTACTATATTTCAAACATCTTCCACTTTTGTTTTACTCTTCCCATACTAGTAAAAAGCATCTTTGGCATCCAGTGCAGCACACAACCTTTCAACAATGCATCAGCTCAGATTAATGCATTGTAATGTCGCTATTAATTCAGTTCTACATGGGCATTTTTCATGTTCTGTTGAAGACAAAAGCAAACAAACAAAAAAACAATTCATTCCACACTGTCATCCCTTTGTCCTGACCAGAACAACTCGATCGTGTTGAAGAAGGCATGAACCATATCAACCAAGACATGAAGGAGGCCGAGAAAAATTTAAAAGATTTAGGGAAATGCTGTGGCCTTTTCATATGTCCTTGTAACAAGTAGGTACTGGGTACCGGCTCTGCTATGTGGTGTCCAGTTTTTTGTCACAGTGAATGTCTGAAGTTTTTGTCTTTTTTTTCTTTGTCCTTTTCCATCTGCTTCATTCTGTGGGGATAAAATACTTGTGTTTAATCAGAACAACTGGAACGCATCGAAGAGGGAATGGACCAAATCAATAAGGACATGAAAGAAGCAGAAAAGAATTTGACGGACCTAGGAAAATTCTGTGGTCTTTGTGTCTGTCCATGTAACAAGTAGGTGCTGCCTGCCTCATCTCTTTGAGCACTTAAGGCTGATCCCAAAGGCCTTGTGAAGCTCATCCTTGCTAGGCACATGGACAGGATGAGCATGTGGCATGCAGAAAGAACGATTCTGGTTCAAATGCATTCATCTCATAGCATAGACAACTGACTGGGAATTCCTGTAGATGCATTAAAATCAGGCATACTGCAGTGAAAGCTTCACTGTTGACACCTTTTAATGGTAAAAGTTTCAACATTTTACACAAAGTGTACTGAGTGGTTCCACTTTCCAGCAAACAAAAACAGTTGGGCTACCTTATTCCTGGATACCCTAAATTTTGAAACACATTTTCCCAAACAACTTCAATCAACAGAACAAAAAAGCTGAAAAAGAGCAGAAGAGGTCATAATAAACATTACTCAAAATTATGGATGAAAATCAGACACTGTTCAACAGAAACAGTCTGTGATGAGCTCTTGCAAGAGACATGATTCTTCACAATTGGAACCCAATTTGAAATTACTTTCATCCTGCCATAGCCAACAAATTGAACACACCAAATTTCTCTTGCTTGGGTAGCACGTACACTAAGCAGAAATGTTGAAATGCATCTGATTTGCTTGCATGCCAATCACACTTGAACGAAACCGTCCTCCAAGTAATGCAAAGCTTGTTTTAAAAATGCCAGTTGACAATGTGATGTGTGGTTATGCGGGTGCAGGGAATCAGGGACGAAGTGGACCAACCAGAAGTTCTTGAGGAATGGCTAAGCCAGCATGCAGTGAGTAGGCATGCAACCAGGTCACAGAAAATATTCACAAATGCTTGGCCAGAGATTGTGCAGGAACCAAAGCAGAGTGCAGTGGTTCTGTAGTATGATAATCCTTTTCTGAGTGGCACAGATACTTTGTTCATAGCCAGGGCCTGATCCTACCATGATTACCAAGACTAAAGGAAAGAGCTGTCATGGAATTCAGTGAGTATTTTGCCAGAAATCAGAATGGTAGGACCAGGTTTCTGCCTTACCAGTCATGTTTATTTTGAAATTAATTCCCTTGGGACACAATGCAGACACCACCACAGCTTTAAAAAAAACCCAACAAAACAAAACAAAACCCCCAAAACCAAACAAACAAAAAACCACTTTTTCTTCTATGTACCAAGCTGCAAATACTAACCTGAGGTAAACATTTTACCCAGGGTATGTGCACTATTGCCTTAGTGTACAGAATAAGAGAGAGGCAAGAGATGGAGAGATTTGCACACACACATAGCCTTTGTCAGTGGAACTGTCTGCAACTGGTATCAGCTCTGATAAAGGCTTTAGTCCTGCTGTCCTGCACCAGAGGTCCCAGTGCTGAAGAGCTGCAGGTACCAGAATATGCATCAGAAACTCCACATCTTCCACACTCTAAAAGCTTAAATAGGAACATTGTCTTGGCTTGCTCCTCCTGGAGAAACCCAGCATAAGGCCTACATCAAAGTTCACCCTTGAAGTACAAAAAATTGCAATGTATTTTGCAGGAACAGTAATTTTTAAGAACAGCTTTAATATTCTGTACTGTAGGAAAGGCTTCTACAAACTGACAGCCAGACCTGTGGCATGGATGGGGTCAGGATCTGACACATGGCGTTAAAACATTTACTACCTCACTATGATTGGAGTAGCATGAAGTCAACAGACACAAAACCAAAAAGATATTGCATGCATTTAATGTGGGAGACATAAATTTTTAAAAGTGTCTCTTCCCTACTTTAAGGCAGTACTCTGACCTTTGCAGTCTGCAGCCAGATTTTACAAACTAGCACTGCTAATACTGTCATTATGTTTAGAAACAGTGCACAGATGAACAATACTTTTAAAGACTGTTCCTTCAATCACCATGCCAGGACTCAACTGGAACAAATAAGATAATATTCTGAGAAGTGGAGTGTAGGAGGGGGAGAAATGCATACAATTCCAGACATCGGTATCACCATGATCCTCTAGTGCTCTGCTGACTGGTGGTAAATTAGTTGTGTGTATTTCAAAAGATGAACCATTTAATGCATAATTACACTCTGCTACTCATAAATTCAACTCTGTCAGCCTTACAAAAAAGTATGGCTTGAAACTACATTCTTAGGAGACCCAAAATGCTCATGGCATGAACCAGGTGGCATTCAAAAGGACAACTGCTATTGACTGTGAGCAGATCCAGACTCCGTTGACCTTAATGTGAAGTCCACAAGAAAACAGAGCTCAAGCTCTGGTTGTGTAAAATCATTCACCTCAAACATAGAGACTGCCTCACTCTTAAAGTTCCACAGGTCTAAAGAACAGGCAAAAACCTGGAAATGTATATGCAGCAATTTACTTACTTTCAGTCATTTCTAGAAATGCCAAAGCTGATGTATAGTTTTAGAGAACTTATTAAAAATAAAGAACAAATAACCCAACCACCTTCTTTTTAAATCTGCACAAATTTTAGTAGGAAATAAGCAGCAAAACAGATGAGTAGGAAAGATCCTCTTTTCATCTACCTTTTAATTCTATATTGGAGCATGCAACACATCATCAGGTTCAATAGATGCTGAGTAGCTTCAGGGGGCATAAAGAGAGCATAACATCAGAGATGGATTTATTATGTCCCTTTGCAAATCCCTCAGAAACGTGTTGACTTTCTCCCCCAAAATCCAAGCCACAGGGCTCTATATATGACTGATTGGAGCTGACCAAAGAACAGGGAAACCACAGAGATGTGTAGTTCTCAACAGTTTAGCTGGAAACCACTCCATTTCTGGAATAAAATCAAGAGCTCAAACCTCCAGTCCCTACACACTCACAGTCTCCTGTTAAAGTGTTCAGTCTCATCTGACAATCCCAATGACAGCCACCCTAAATATGCTGCACATGCTAATCTACCACTGAAGGTATGCCTGGATTTTAATTTTCTATCCTGGCAGCTCAGTCAAAAATGGCTCTCTGAAAGCTGATGTAAATATCATAAACAACAAATATATCAAGTCACTAGGCTATTTTTAAAGTCCTGTGGTTCAAAGCTCCTGAAGGAAGTGATGATCCATTTTTGCCTGTGTCTTGCTTATTGTGAAGGCTGTTACTGCTGATGCATTAAAAGTATGATGAACTATTGGGGCAACTGTGCTTAGTGAGAATGCTTTACTTCTTATTCATGCCTGTAGCTGGTGCATGAAGAAAAGTGTAGAAAATTTCCCTTTCTGATGCTAGATTGCTCTTATCTCTTCTTTTCTCCTGCACTCATTTCACTTCTGCCTATTTTACTTTTTGTCTCTGTGGAAAAAGGTTTGTACATCAACTGTCGATGTATGATTACTATTTTCAAGTACCGATATATTATTTGAAAAATTTAATGAACCCTATTAATCTTATGATAAAATCATTCCCTAATCACCTTGAGAAAGGTTAGTGGCTTTATATGCCTATTATGCCACATACATGTTAAAAATACCAACAGAGGCCCAGTCTTCTGCATGGTAAAATGTTTAAATCTAGCCAAATCCATTTTTCTCTAACAGGGTGTGTTGCTGTGATGTGATGTACACACTATACTTGGCAGTTCTCGTTTTACGTCTGTCTGCCAGTATGTTCTCCATGTTTGATGTCAAAATGTATGTGTCATTGAAATGAAACAATGTTTTCTACTTATCTGTATTTCTTCTCTTCTTCTTCTTCTTCTTTTTTTTTTCCTTTTTCTTCTTTTTTAAAAATTTATTTTCCTTCTATCTGGAAACCAAGTCAATATCTAAAAACCTGTGTGCAGTGTTGTAGACTTGACTTTTGCAATTCACCCTATTGGACACAAAACCTCTGACCATCACAGTTGTTGTGGCAGTAAAGTAAGAAACCAAAACCCCTCCTTTTATTCAGGATTATGATATATCGGTATACAATCAATGACCTTCTATCTGAAAACTCATTTGCTTGATTCAGCTTTTAGCTTGGAGGAGAGTTTTGCATTTGTCCTTGTCCACTTGATGCTTTGTTACTCATTGTCTTTTTTGCATAGGCTTAAATCAAGTGATGCTTACAAAAAAGCCTGGGGCAATAATCAGGATGGTGTTGTAGCCAGCCAGCCTGCACGTGTCGTAGATGAACGGGAGCAGATGGCCATCAGTGGTGGCTTTATCCGCAGGTGAGCCTTTTTATTCACTTTTTTCTCTCTATTCTCTTCCTCACTGATATATTTAGATTTCTTCCATATGGTCACGAGTTCTGTGATGCTCATTAACTCCTTTGATGGTGCTGGGTAATGCAACGGAGCCAGTTTTCCACTGAGTGGTGGGTGCTGAGGTTTAGGTTGAGAGTGATTAAGACAGGTACTAAAGGATCACTGTATCCACTGACTTCCCCTGGCCTTGTAGGTGCTTGCCTGGGCTGGTGCAACGGATGTTTATGTTGCTGTAACTCTTGGAAAGAAGTGTCTTGAAAATGTGGCCCCAACACTTTCTCCTTGAGATTGCCCAGATTTGGGCAATAATAAAATAGAAATAATATCTATGTATTTATTTACTTCAGAGCAGCAATGTGAGGTTGCAGACTGTCACATCTAGTCAGCACTGTACCCTGCATTTGAACTCCATGGTATGATCAATGTACTTTTCCTGGGGGTCTTATTATGGATCTCATTAATGACAGTTGTCAAATGCCTCAGAAAGGAAGTGTCAGATAAATATTAGTTCATTATTCCTATGTCTCAAGATATGTAATGCTGATTATCCAGGCTGGCCAGAAGACATATCAAAGATCCAATACCCATTCCTTTGTTTTCAAAAAGAAAAAAAGGCCCCATGCTCCCTTCCAAAGCACCCAGCCAAGTGTAGAACTTCAAACACATTTTTAACCAGAGGTACACCCCTCTCTGCTCCTGACGAACCAGAAAACCTCACCAAAGTGGGAATGATGCCCCATTCCCCAGCTGTTGTAATGACACAACCACGGAGAAACATTGGTGCTTTTAGTGGCAACCCCTGTGCACTCAAATGAAAGACAATTTGAAGCCCACAGCTCTAGTAATGGCAACCACACTGCAAACTTTCAGCAATACATAGAGATCCAGCAATAAGTACATACTGATTACCGTGCTTACACAGCAGGCATTTAGATGACAATACTATCAGCTGAGTGGATATAGGCATACCAGTAGGCAAAGCTTTGATCTCTGAAGATTAAGGACACTGGATTAATAAGTAATTATCTTTCCAAAAACTATTATCCACTTATTTTTTTGGCTGCTGTGATAAAGGGAAATCAGTGTGGTAGAAACAATGCTGTCATCCAATCTGGAGCGTGGGATGGAGTTGCCATTTAAGTTTGCTGGGTCTGCCATTCACTTTTTTTTTTTTTTTTTAATTTCTGGATTGCAGCCCCACCAAAATGAAGGCTGGGGTACAATAACAGAATTGCAGTGAAGGGAGCTAAGCTACACCATAGTTGTTCCTCAAAGAGCCTGCAGTGCCCTTCTGGCACCTACATGAACACAAATTGCACAAGAGACTCAGAGCAGTGATTTTCTAAGTGAGACCTACAGACCTTGCTTTTCCCACTGCCAGTCACCACACGCCTCTCCAGTCACTGGGAAGCTGAACTGGACCTTGGCTCAATCACCAGTTTTTTTCTTCTAAAAACCAAGCAACTGAAAAAGATGGGGCTAAGAATGAGAGGCAAAGTTTCTTTACTAAAGCCAGTAAATCTGAGAGAAGTTACTTCTGTCATTTACTAGAAATATGCTTAATTAAATAGGATGTTAGGTCAGGGTTTGAACACTTGAAGCACCTCTTCCACGATTTTTCAGTCAGCCCCAAGTGTATGAGGACTGGACAGTATCCATTAGCTATGTTTAGTTCAAGGAAGGGAGCTGGAATAGCTTCAATTCCACCACCCTCCAGCATTTTCCACCCACTCTAACCACACAGGGATCTAAAAGAAGGACCCTTTTATTTTTCATTGGAGAAGGACCATCACTAGCAAAGAGGAGCAGTGTGTGGTACAGACAAGCTCAAACAGCAACACTTCTAGGAGCAGGAGACACAAGCAATATAAATGAAGCAGTGATTAAACCAGGCAATTAAGCCAAACATCCAAAAAATAAGCCCGTAATGTTGTTTTTCAGGCTAACTACTTATTAATCCCTTTTTGTCAAAGCTGAGCACAACAGCATGCTCCTCAGGTGACAAGTGAAGGAGGATGCAGGGGAGGTTTTGGGTGAATCAGAGTTTCGGGGGCAACCTCCTCTGTCACTTCTTCAAAGAATTGATTTTTTGCTCCCAGGGTAACAAATGATGCCCGGGAAAATGAAATGGATGAGAACCTTGAGCAGGTCAGCGGCATAATTGGCAACTTACGTCACATGGCCCTGGACATGGGCAATGAGATCGACACACAGAATCGCCAGATTGACAGGATCATGGAGAAGGTAAGAGCTGACATTTCTAAGAGGACCCCAAAAGGGGCTGTGTTCTTCCTTCTGCAAATACAGGCTATGCATGCTGCAACTTCTCTTCAGCTCAAAGAAGGACAAGGGACAGAAATAGCTGGAGCTTTTCTCTCTTCTTCATCCAAATACTTGGGCCAAAGCAGAGGTCACTGCTGTGGATCTTCAGTAACCTCCAGTGCAGATTGGGTCAAACCCACACTGTTGGCTTCACCAGACTACAGCTGATGAGGAGACCTCTTAGCAAAAATCAAGGCTCTTTGGGGGGAAAAAAAAAAAAAAAAAAGGAAAGGAGAAATGCTCTGAGCTGTGCAGAGCTGCAGGGCTTGGGTCTGAATGTCCTGGCACTTCCTGCTAAGTTTCAAGCTTTGCTGGACTTTTCTTCCTTTGGAAATTCCATGAGTAATAGAGCATTGGATGACCTTTTTGAAGGACCGGTCCCAAAAAGAGGATGGGCATTTATTAAGAAAGGTCTTGCTGCATAGTAACAGTGCTTAAAACCACATTAGGACAGAAATCTACCAACTCTCTCAATGTGTTTGTGTGTTGGTGTGTATAAATATGTATATAAAAATATATACAAAAATAACTGAGGCTCAGCATTACTATGGCGAAATCACCACCTAAAAAGGCAGGGAGCACAGTGCCAGTGCCAGACCTGCATTGCAGATTCCTGAAGCAGATAGCAGCACCCTCCAAACACAGCTGGGAGCTCACTGCCATCCTCAGATCCCAAGACCTGTGAGCCATCTGCATTCACGCTGGCAGAGCTCCAGGCACAGCCAGGCTGAAGAGACGTAAGAGGGTAGATCTTCATCTGGTGTAAAATGAATACAACACTTGACTTTGGCTGAGATTTACACCACCTGAGGATCTAACCCAAGGACTTATATGTACTGCTTAGAGTTAATGCTGACCTTAAGTGGTAGATCTCGTACTTGTGAGCCTTTTTACACGTGCAGTCCTTCTCACATGAGCAGGATGCCCCTGCCTACTTTTCATGTCAGTTAACTACAGAAAGGCTAGAGAAAAAACTGAAGCTAATACTGCATTCAGGGATTCACGAAGATAGCCTTCTTTACTGGAGTCTGATTCCAGAGAGAACTGGGTAAAGTATATATTGCCTTAAAAGTGGGAAGCTCACCTCTGACAGAGTGTCACATAACATGGCTTAGCATTGGTCAAAAGCTTTATTTTATAAAGCTGCACCTGTTAGCTTGACTGTATTGAGAAACGCACGGTATTGCTGTGATGCCTGCTGCGATGCCACTCTGCAGCATTTCATATTTCTGGGGAAAAAAGGAGTGGCAGGGGGAGGATTTACTGCTGTAATTCATATGAAAAGCACTAGAAAGCAGCACAGCTATCCACATTGTGATAAGGGACTGGAAGATTATACTGCCTACATCATAACTACCTCTGAATAAGAAGTCCAGAACATGCATTACTACATATTAGCAGCTACCCTACTCATGACATTACATAGTGGCAGGAGATACACCCTGTGGATGGAAATCAGCTGCCTCTTTTCTGTGCCTGAAGTATACTATCACAAACTGCAGCAAGCCTAACAAGTCATTGCTATTCTATCAGTTCAGGGCTTTCAGACATCTGGATTTTTAAAACATTGACCAGATCCTTTGTGCACATGAAGCACTTGGGCCAAATCCCTAGGCAGTGCATGCTGAAAGCAGTTGGCTGAGGGATTGGCCATCCACATCTGTCCTTTCCTGTTAAAGTGACATTTCATACAGCCATAGAAAAACAACATTGCAAGCTGATGGGATTCATTAAATCCAGCCTCGAAGGCAGGTCTCATCAGATAGAGCCCTTGGCTAAAGAACTGTGAGTCATTTCTGAAAGGGGGACTTGCAGTGTACACAGAGGAGTTGCGGTGAAAGCAGCACAAAAACAAGACAGTCTTCAGTCTTGGTGAAAATCTGCCACATTTTTCAGAGTAAGGATGCATAGAAATGAGATACTAGAAAAAGAAACACAATATATTAGGAAAACCCTCCATAAAAGATGGAAATGACTCAGCCAGAAAATACTGAGCCCACAAATGCATATACCTCCTTTTTGCAATGAAATATGCTAACAGACCATCATCCCCAGCTGGGGGTGGGCATACAGCATTACTGGAGTTGTTTTCTTTGCCTGACCAGCTGGGGCACTGTGCTTTTGACCAGTTATGATCATTAGAATGACCCTTGGCTGGCACACTTTCATGGACTTTGATGCAACATCATTCATGAGTTAGACCTCAGTATGCCTTTTTAGGAACATTATGTTTCATCAATATTCAATCAATATTTCTGTGTTTCATGACAAACATAGCTGTTTCCAAAATCACTAACTTGGTTTTTAAGTAGTCTTTTGGCAAAAGCACACAAAACTGTACAGTGGCTGACAAGGTCAGACTCCTGGCTAAAATAAAGAAGCATGGCTTATAATGAATAGTGATGTTGATTTACATGTGTTGATGATCTGGCACATGCTACTGTACTAAAAATACACATCTACATAGCATTTGCCAAAATAATTATGGAGAAAAGCCCAAGGTATTTAATAATGATTTACTGCTCATTAGTTTGATCCTTTTTAAAGGATTTTAAAATGTATGTAGTAAAGTTGCTTCGGCATTCTGTCTTTGCAAATTAGAGATTTAAAATAAATCTGTACAATTGGATACACCCCAGAGATGTGGAAACCATTATCAAATCTAACAAAATACAGCCATCAAGGCACAGAAGAATTTGCTATTGGAGTTCATGCTTTTAAAGCAGTAACACAATTCTCACCTTCCCCACAGGTGTGATTTTAAAGATTGAAAACATTTTCTATCTGGTCTGCTAGCATAAGTTGGCATAGCAACATGGGCTTGAATGGAGCTTTGCCAAGTTTTGTCAGCTAAAACAATGTCGTCAATCTCCAAAACTAACTTCTGCAGAGCTACACAAAGCCATGCCCAGTGTCTTCTCAGAGAGAACTCCTAAACCTCCACAGTGGTGCTAGTTTACTTACATCATTTGATAAGCATGGCAAGTGTTACCCCATGAAGTTAACACTTCAGCCTATGCTGGACTAAATTCTAGTTTGATTACTTCAAATAAGGCAGAATCCCTGCCTTTTCTGAATTCCTGGTTCTGCTGCCCAACAATAGAGGTTACTCTATCTTGCAGCTACATTGGTGAACTTTGTTGGGAGTAGGAAGACATCACTCACACCTATTCCCTTCCTTTCAACTGTAAAGCAAAAGGATCCAGACTGATGCATTTTCAAATAAATTTATCTTTGCTGGCATTCCCTGTGTCAGATGATCTAACTTCCCCACTCCAGCAATTCTCTACACTGACCAGAATTTTAGTGTTGATTGTTATCACATCAATTATCATCCTGTCATCCATATTGCTAGCACTACCAATTGCACCAGCTACAGATCTGGCACAGCATTTACAAGAGTTCAGTGAAGCTGAATATGAGCTTAAAAGCTCTGCTCAAAGGCTACCTGAAGCTCCACAAAACCAGCAAATCTGTAATTTCCTTTTGGGTCCCTAATGCCACTATAAAAAAAAAAAAAAAAAGGTCTTCATTATTTTCAAGCTGGGTTTTTTTCCTGCCCCAGCCAAAACTGGGAAGCAAACATTGAGCATTGTAAATGTTCTCTTCCTGCCCTGTACTCACCTGTTTCTTTCCTTTGTGTTTCCCTAGGCTGATTCCAACAAAACTAGGATTGATGAAGCCAACCAGCGCGCAACAAAGATGCTGGGCAGTGGTTAAATGCAGCAAAGTGCATTTTCTTTTAGTGCTGCCCAACAGGGCAGTACCTTCATGCTTTTATCATGGTATTTACCTACTAGGTTTGCACACATGCACATATCAGCCCCATTGTAAATGTTGTCCTGTGTAGTTTGTCAGCTTTCCAAAAATGATACTTGTAATTATTTTTTTCTAGATATCTTTCTTTCCAAAGGTTGTACATAGTGCTGATTTGATGGCTATAGCTCACTATGATGTTTTTTGGGATTTTTCCTTTCCTTCCTTCCATTTTGGATTACTTTCCTTTTTCCCCTCTCCTTTTTTTCCTTTTTTTTGTTTGTTTTTGTTTTTGGTTTTGGTTTGGTTTGTTTTTTTGTTAATGATGTTTGCTGAATGACAACACTGTTGGAATGCTAAACGTGCTGTTAACCTTTAAATATACAGTATTGTTCTTGTAAAACTGTGACATTCCACAGAGCTACTGCCATACTCCTGTCTTTGGGTATCATGATGTCTAAGCACTTAAACCTGCTGTCTTCGGTTCTTCATTGCCATTATCTGTCGTTACGATTTCATGATTAGACAATGTGAAATTATATTACTATAACAAGCATTGCACTAAAAAGTGATGTGATTTATGCATTTATGCATGAGGAATAAATAGACGTTTAGACTCCTACTTAAACAAGAATTTTCCCATGGCAGTAGCACACCAACAATGACAACAAAAGCATGCTCAGTATTCGGACTCTTTTGGGACTATGTTATACCAGCAAGTTTGCAGTCGTGCCACTTTTTTCTTGTTGATATATATATAGTTATTAACCATGATCATTTTTTTTTTTAATTATGAAAAAAGAGGGATTTGGCGCTCACCATTTAGCCATTGCCAGCAAAATAAAAGCTTGGCTGAAAATATGTCAAAGACAAAAAGAAACAAGTGTAATATATTGGGTTTGTCTGCTGCTTTTGAAGACTATCTTTTGGAGGAGACGACTACCATAAGAAATGGTGCAAAGAAATGTAATTTTTATAAGGCTCTCTCTTACTAGTTGCTATCCCCATGTGGTTTGTTATTGGTACAGTTCTCTGTTGCTTACCTAGAGCTATGCACACCAAATCGCTGAGATGTTTAGTAGCTGATTTACTTAAAAAATAATAAAAAAAACCTAAATGAATGAACTCTAGATAAACTGTGAGATAAATATAATTTACAGCATGTAATATGAAATTCCTTATGTCTCCTGTCAGTTTGTGAAGTGATTGACATTTTGTAGCTAGTTTAAAAATTATTAAAAATTATATAGATCTCAGAATCCATGCTTGCTTTATCCATTTGTTGCCCTACGTGCCAGTGACACCTAGTTATTTGCCACTTACCTGAGAAAAGGAGAAGTGCAAAGTCTAAAGAGTCTAAAGACTCTTTACAAGCTGGATCTGTATTACACGGGAAATTAAGACTTCTGCTTGCAATACTGTGTAAAAGTAACTCCTCTAAGAATAGCATTTTTCACTAAGCACATTCCAAGTGAATATTATTTTAAATAACCTGGCTTGTATTTCCAAACACTGAATCAAAATAAATTATCTTTTTCAAGGTAATGAAAAAAATGAAATAAATGTTATGGTGCAGAAAGATACTTAGTCAATAGTGTAAATTGGATGTTCCTTAGTCAATAAATTCTATTCCCATAGTAGATCTAGACATGTCCTAATACACCTCTTTTCAAGGGAACACTTTGAACTACAGACTTTGTATAGCCTGCTAAGAATAATTTTCTTAAATGACTAGCAACAACTAGTATTTACTGCCATTGAAAAATGTTATCATATTTCCCCAGGGAGATTTCCCTATATGGACAAATTAAAATTAATTCTGCATGAGTGACAGTTCACTCATGTGTCTCACATGGCCCCAAGTCAAAACACACAAAGAATATGAAGGCTTGCATAATTAAAATCGCGTGATAATGTAGACAAGCTGTATTTTCTTTAGCAGCTTTTTATTTTTAGTATCTATTAAAAATTCATTTATGCAAATATTTTTCCCCCACTACTTCAAACCAAAGAGCAAACTTGAAGCAAACATTTTAAATCAGCTGACCATTTCCAATGCTGTTTAGTCAGGGATTCTAGTATTTCTGACAGCACTATCATTCTGCAATGTCAAAACCTACTGAAGGAGGAAAATAATTGTACTGGGAAATATGTCAGTATGAAAACATACAAATATGTGGGTATTTGAGAAGGGCAAGAAATACATGAGAAAGTAATGAAGACATTAATTGAGGTATTGTTCTCATCTGTTTGACAAGAATGCACCTTATCTGAAGATGACCATACTTCCAAAAGCCATCAAAGCTGATAAAAAAATATAAGCTGCTGTTGTGAAGGAAATAATTATGTTTTGACATCTGTTTTTGTCTTGAACAAAGATTAAAAAGCAAACTATTGGAACTTTTTCTGCCAAATGGAAAGCTTAAAGGAGAGAAATATTGAAATGTTTCACTGCATTTGTCTTTGTATCTTCCCCAACTGTATGCAGGGTCTCCTAGGAGCTGTCTGGAAATTACTTAAGTAAATAAGTTTAATGGATTACATTTCTCTGATGTTTTATGGAAATTGACTTCTCTAGTGCTAATTGTTCTTGAAATAATTCAAAGAAAGGCTCAATCTCATGCAAGTTTGTTTTTAGAAAAATCCACTTTTATTTGTTAAGTTTTGCATACACCAAATCCCTGTTGTAGTAGTTGACTCAACAGAAAAAAAAGACATTTAAAACCAAACATTGTCTTTTTCCCACTTTGCCCCTCTGGTCAGCCCCTGTTTCCCATTATATGCTGCAGGCTTTCCCTGAGGCTGAACAAGCACAGTGCAAAATTACCTGCTGGAGAGACAAAGTTCACTAGAAGGAAAGAGACACAGCAAAAAGCCGAAACTACAATTCCCATAGAATAAAATGGTTACACTGATTGTGGAAACAAAAATGAACTAGATTTTTCTGAAAGAAAAGCTGTCTTTTCCTGGTAAGAAATTTCTGCTTGACCATATTTTATATTTTTATATTTCATTTTCTCTTTGTACCAGTGCCATCTGGAAATCCAGGTTTGAGAGGAAAAAAATAAATGAGGGAGATCAAAGAGACAAAGCTTCATAAAATATCACTTAAGTCTACACTCTCAATGCAATTAAACCAACAGTTTGTATGCAACATAGCAAAACACTTGGTTTGAGTAGTTAAAGGGAAAACTTTTTTTCATTCTCTCAAATGCCAGAGCTGAATGAACTACCCAGCAGGATTACTTAAAATTCTGCTTCAAAACCGAAGTCCAGCTAAAACGCAAATTTCTGTTAAACTCTACTAATCCACAGTTTATGACCCCTTTCATGCCATTCTCCTAGTTTTTTAGTCTAGGCTGAAATTGGAAATATCAAAATAATATCAAGGAATGGTATTTGAATGTTATTCCTCAACAGAACAAAGTAAGTAGTGCAATATCTAATAAAAAAAAAATAAAATAAAAAAAGTCAAAGACTAGCTGGAGTGCATGGAGCTCACCCTGGGGACAATGAAGAGCCAACTGAGAGCTCATGAGTTAAGATTAAGGGGAAGACAGGCAGAGGTGACATTATAGTGGGGGTCTGCTGCAGGTTGCCTGACCAGGAGGAGAGTATAGATGGACACTCTATAGACAGACAGGAGCAGCTTCATGTTCACAAGCCATAGTACTCATGGGGGACTCATGAGGGTTTCTAAGTTCAAGGGCAGCCTCGGTTGTAGCAACCATGAAATAGGGGAGTTCAAGATCCCTAGAGCAGCAAGAAGAATTCACAGTAAGCTTATTACACTTGACTTCGGGAGGGCAGATTTCAGTCTCTTCAAGGATTTGCTTGAGAGAGCAGATAAAATCCTGGGAGGGAAGAGAGGCCTATGAAAGCTCTCTGATATTTAAGGATCCCCTTCTCCAGGCCCAAGAGCAATGCATCCCAACTAAGAGAAAGTCAGGTAAAATCTCCCAGAGGCTGGTATGGATGAACAAGCAGCTCCTAGAAACACTCAAACTTAAGAAGGAAGAACACAGAGGGTGGAAGCCAGGGCAGGTACCCTCAGAGGATTACAGAGTGGTTGTCCGAGCAGCTAAGGGTCAGGTAAGGAGAGCCAAATCTCAGATGGAATTAAATTTCATCAAGGATGTAAGGACAAATAGGAAAACCTTCTATAGGTATGTTGGGGATAAAAGGATAACCAAGGAAAATAAAGCTACAAAGGATATTGAGAAGGCTGAGGTCCTCAATGACTTCTTTGCCTCAGTCATCTCAGGCTCCAGCCTCATCACAGAGGCCACAGCAGGTGCAAGCAGGGACTGGGAGAATGAAGCACCCCCCAGTGTAGAAGAATAACAGGTTTATGACCACCTAAAGAACATGAAGGTGCACAAGTCTATAGGGCCTGATGGGGTCCATCCATAGGTACTGAGTGAGCTGGCGGATGCAACTGCTAAGCCTCTGTCCATCAAATTTGAGAGATCATGGCAGTCTGATGTGGTTCCCTCCATTTGGAAAAAAGGGAGCATAGCCCCTGTTTTTAAAAAGAGGAAGAAGGAAGACCCGGGGAACTACAGGCCAGTCAGTCCCACCTCTGTGCCGGCAAGCCCATGGAGCAGATCCTCCTGGAAAATCTGCTAAGGCACATCGAAAATAAGGTGGTGATTTATGAAAGCCAACATGGCTTCACTGAGGACAAATCATGCCTGACCAATTTGGTGGCCTTCTATGCCAAAGCTACAGAGATGGTGGATAGTGAAAGAGCAACTGACATCATCTACCTGGATTTGTGCAAGGCATTTGACACCGTCCCACACGACATCCTGGTCTCCAAACTGACAAGACATGGATTTGACAGATGGGCTGCTTGGTGGATAAGTGATTGGCTGCATGGCTGCACCCAGAGAGTTGTGGTCGGTGGTTCAGTGTCCCAGTGGAGGCAGGTGACTGGGACCAGTGCTGTTTAACATCTTTGTTAGAGACATGGACAGTGGGATTGTGTGTATCCTCAGCAAGGCTGCTGTCAACACCCAGCTGTGTGGTGTTGCTGATACCCTAGAGGGAAGGGAGGCCATCCAGAAAGACCTTGACAGGCTGGAGAGGTGGGCCAATGCCAACCTCGTGAAGTTCAACAAGGCCAAGTTGTGAATACAAATACAGGCTGGGGGGAGAATGGCTGCAGAGCAGTCCTGAGGAAAAGGACTTGCGGTGGCAGTAGATGAGAAGCTTGACATGAGCTGCCAGTGTACCCTCACAGATCAGAGAGGCAACTGCATCCTGGGCTGCATCAAAAG